GGAATTATATCCTGATGCATATAAAAAGAATACTTAACAGTTAGTAACCAAGTAAAAGCATAGATAAAACCTAGAGAGTATTAGAAAAAAGTATTCAAAGAAAGCTTTGAAGCTTGAAAAATCACTGTCCTTGATGAAATATAGCATCTAGGGGAATACAAACAAGTTTCTTCAAGGTTCCATTTTCCTTGAAGAAACATTGGCATTTAGGAGAATACAAACAAGTTTCTGCGAGATACAATCCAAACAGATACTGCAAACTTAGCCACCTCTCAGAAAAATAGTAAAAAGTTGAATTTATAGAAGTGAAACCATGTCTATTCTCATTAATGTGGTTGTTGCTTATGCTTTCCTAAGCCAATGGTCTATTGGAAACAGCCTCTCTATCTTCACAAGATAGGGATAAGGTCTGCGTACACACTACCTTCTCCAGACCCCACGGTGTGGGATAATACTGGGTATGTTGTTGTTGTAAACCAAGTCTATTCTGAATACACATAGTATTTCATTAACATTTAATAGACATATATTGTTTTATTCAAAATTGAATATTAACTATTATTCTAAATTACTTGGAGAATTTTACTTATAAAGCCTTTAAAAAGGCCTTTGGGCCGCCAATGTGGGACTTCTCACTTTATATTACAAACTACAAAACAAAGAGGACTCTATTAAGAGTTCTAAGAGAAAGAAGAACACTTGCTACTCAAGACAATGGAGTGCCACATGGTGGAGAAGCGAAAAGGATTAGCGAAAAGGATTAGCAAGTGAACAACAACAACGACGACGACCCAGTAAAATTTTACTAGTGGGGTGTGGGGAGGGTAGTGTGTATGCAGATCTTACCCCTATCCCGAGGAGTAGAGAGACTGTTTTCGAAAGACTCTTGGCTCAAGAAGGCAAAAGGAAACAATATCAGTACCACCAATAGATATCATAAGATAACAACATCATGAAAACCAGAAAATAGATGCAAAGCAAAAGCGATAGCCAGTAAATAGACCTGGCATTATGAAAAACAAAAGAGTAGTAAGACACAACATTATCATTGGCTGTCTTAGACAAAAATCCTACCAAACTAGCCTCACAAAGGTACGAACTAAGGCAAGACTCAACTACCTCCTAACGTACAACTCAAATGCTCGACCTTCACACCTTCCTATCAAGGGTCATGTCCTGCCAGATGCTAACCTCCACTTCATCCACCCCACCCCAATACGGTGTGTGATATCCTCGTCGATCTCCCCTCCCCCCTGGAGAACCGACCCAAGGTACTTGAAACAGCCTCTACTATGGATGACCTGTGATTCAAGCTTCACATCTACGTCCACTTCCCTCGACTCAGCGCTGAACTTACACTCCAGGTATTCCGTCTTTGTCTTGCTCAACTTGAAACCCTTAGACTCAAGAGCTTGTCTCCAAACCTCCATCCTCTTGTTAACACCGGCTCGCGTCTCATCAATCAGAATCATATCATCAACGAATAACATACACCATGGCACCTCCCCTTGAATATGGTGTGTTAACGCGTCCATTACCGGGGCAAATATGAACGGGCTGAGCACAGAACCTTGGTGCAACCCCATAACAACCGAAAAATGCTTAGAGTCGCCTCCTACTGTCCTGACCCAAGTCTTTGCCCCATCATACATATCCTTAATCGCTCTAATATAGGCAACCGGCACACCTTTAGCCTCCAAGCATCTCCAGAGAACTTCTCTAGGAACCTTGTCATACGCTTTCTCTAGATCAATAAACACCATGTGCAGATCCTTCTTCCTCTCCTTGTACTGTTCCACTAGTCTCCTAATAAGGTGTATAGCTTCTGTAGTGGAACGACCCGGCATAAACCCAAACTGGCTGTCGGATATAGACACCGTCCTCCTCACCCTCGCATCAACCACCCTCTCCCAAACTTTCATGGTATGACTCAGTAATTTGATACCCTTTAATTGTTACAACTCTGGATATCACCATTATTCTTATACAACGGAACTATCGTACTCCACTTCCACTCATCTGGCATCTTCTTTGTACGAAAAATAACATTAAACAGCTCAGTCAGCCACTTCAAGCCTGCTCTACCCACACACTTTCAAAATTCAACCGGAATTTCGTCCGGTCCGGTTGCTCTGCCCCTACTCATCTTACACATAGCTCCCACGACCTCCTCAACCTTGATGCGCTTGCAGTACCCAAAGTCACGGTAACTCTCGGAATGCTCCAGTTCACCCAGCACAATATCTCGATCCCCCTTCTTCATTCAGGAGTTTATGAAAGTAAGTCTGTCATCTTCTCTTAATCAGGGCATCTCCCGTCAATACTCTACCATCTTCGTCCTTGATGCATCTCACTTGGTCCAAATCCCGAGCCTTCCTCTCTCTCGTCTTGGCCAACCAGAATAACTTCTTCTCCCCGCCTTTCTCCCCCAGTTCCTCGTATATACGACCATAAGCCGCAGTCTTAGCCTCCGTAACCGCCAACTTAGCTTCCTTCCTAGCTACTTTATACCTCTCCATGCACGCTCGCCTCTCCTCCTCACATGTGCTCCCTACTAACTTCAGGTACGCCGCCTTCTTCGCTTCCACTTTACCTTGAACCACTTCATTCCACCACCAGTCTCTTTTGTGCCCTCCAGAGATGCCCGTCGAAACCCCTAACACCTTTTTCGCAACCTCCCTTATACAGTCTGATGTCGTCGACCAAATAGTGCTCGCGTCACCACTGCTCCTCCAGGCTCCCATAGCCGACAACCACCCCTCCAACTCCTGGGCTTTAATCTTAGTCAAGTGAAGTTTGTAGATAATATGCAGTTGGTAGCAAACAAGAAACTTAAAACACTACTCTTCAACAAGGGGGTTTTCAATCTTACAGGTACACCGATATTGAAAATGGATGTTGTACTTACTTTAGGAGCCAGAAGAAGTTGATGAACTTTAGCTAGCTCATCCTTGGGATTAATTGCGACAGACAAGTAATCAACACCAACCAGTTTGATGTCGGTGTACTGGACCAGATACTCTGCTCCATCTGAGGTGAATGCTGTATAGGAAGAATCAAATTCCTTCTTGTGCATCAGCCTCCTGTTTGGACCAACATATATTACATTCAACACCACACGGATGACAAAACAAAAGAACCAACTAGTGTAGGCATTTTAGCAGGGTTGGACCAAATAAATGCATCAAATATGAACAAACGAATAAGTACCTGTCGGTGTTTAATGTTCGAAAAAGAACACGTTTTACTCCTCGGGGTATGTTCAATGACCTCATAACTTCAGCTGACGAACAAGAAGACAAGCAAAACTCTTAGGTTTCCTCTCACTGAGAGCAAAATATTGTATAAGGAGAGAACACGCTTACTACTTGGTGCCAAACTATAGGGTATGGTGTAGAAAAAGAGAATCACTATTCTCTGTTTTTGTTTTCTTTTCAGAAAGACTCATCTAGTAAGATTTTTGGCAATGCATATGAAAAAAGAATGTCAGTAGGCCTTTGAATTACTCTTTGGCTAGATAGTCAGCGAACAAAATGACTTAGTGTAGTTTTAGTCATCCCATCTAGTACAAGTAATAATTTTAACCATATCAATTGAGAAAATTTTCACATACCATTATACTTTGGAGGACAAATTATTTTGTCTCTTAAACTTACTAACCTACTTTTTTTGAGTCGAGAGTCTATCAGAAACAACCTCTTTAACTTTGATGTAAGGATAAGGTCTGCGCAGACACTACACACTAAATTTACTAACCTACTCCATATCAGAAAAGATAAAGATACTCCATACCGTCGACGGTTTTAGGACAAGAGTGCGTCGACCACGTAAGGCAACTAAAGTTAAAAAGATAAATTAAAGTGACTAAATTTTGTATATTAGAAAGAAAGCTGTTTTCCATGAAACATCTGAAAAAGGAAAAACAGTCAAAATGCTGTTTTCCAGAAAATGCCCTTCAACACTGAAAAATTGCCAATATTTTCAAAAGCAAATCCAAACAAACATTATTTTTCAGTAATCAAAATTAAACCAATACATATGCTTACTGTTTAACAAATGACCATACCTGTAATATTCTTGTCCCGTGGAGTGTCCACTACAAGAACAGGACCTAAATTTAAAAAACTAAAGTCATCCCAAATTTCTGAAACAGCTGATTTTTCAGTTTAAAAGGGGGAAAAAAAGGTGATGGGCAAAAGCATTACCATTTAAGGTTCGGAGATCAAGAGAAACGCCATCGTAACCGAGCTCGAAAAGAGTCTCATTGAAATGTCCAGGAGCATCAACATGTGTACCAGAATGAGTAGAAAGGTTAAAAACCGAATAATTTGAGAGGTCTCCCAATTAGATGCTTGTCTGAAGTCTTATGAAGTTGCCTAACCCATTTTTTGAACCGTAAGCTGGCAAATAAGGAACATATTTATGTGAAATGTCAATTACTTTTTTTCCCCTGTAATTTCTCTCTTCTCTCGTGATTTTTTGGAAGTCAGAAGTGTTCACTGCCCCGGCGGAGCTGACGACGGTGACAAGTGTCAGTACGGCGGCGATCGACAGCAGGAGGGACTGTTGTGTGTGACTGGTCATGGGGATGATGGGTTTTTTTCCTTTCTATTTTTGGAAGGAGAAGAGAGGACCGAAGAGATAGAGGTGATGAAATAGTTATATGCAGATTGGTGACTTGTAGTTTTATAACGGCAAATTTGGCATTGGAAAGAAGATACATGCAACTATGCAAAGTTTTTGACAAATAATTGGAGTTGGAATTGGGGAAAGAAAATTACTGAAGTTAAAATTGGATATAAAAATTTGTGGAAGAAATTATAGCTGTGTTTGGAATGTCGTACTTTTTTTAGGAAAAAAAAAAGTCTGTGAAGGTTTAAAGATTTCGAAAATTTCATTTGAAATACTCTTACAATCTACAAGGTTAGCTAGAAAAAAGATATTTGAGTTCGAGTTCAATTTTTCTTTTATTTCACAGAGAGATGCATACTGATAAAACATCACCAAAGATAAAGTTTGACAGAAAAATCTAAAGATTGTCAAATTGACAACTAAATGTACTACACTTCTAATTTCACATCCAAATTATTTTTTTATCCTACACTAGACTACTTGTAAACAAACAACATCATCAAAATTTGGCCTCGTAGTGAATTCAGACAGAAATCTAACAAACAACATCATCAAACAGTTGTTATAATTTAAGGTAAACAAACTCCTCAACAGCAGGAATTTCCCCAATCCTCTTCAATGACTCCTTGCTTGGTTGCTCATCCACTCCAATAGCCATAACCGCGTGCTTCCTTGGAGCAACCCTTCCAACACTCATGAAACTTACATTCACATTCTCCTCAGACAAGATGCTACCCACCTTCCCGATCATTCCTGGCTGATCAACCTGTCTACAGAGAATGATGCTGCCTTCCAAGCTCACATCCACTTCAAAAGATCCAACTTTTGTCAAATGAGGGATTCCATCTTTTACCCTGCCCTCCACTCTAATCTCTCCAGAATCAGAAACAGCACTTGCAAACTTGGACTCCACATTGGCAATCTGAACCCGAATGAACTCGAGTGGACTTTCTGGTGAACCATTTAGAAGAGATCTTTCTTCAGCTATTCTTAGTCCTCTCTGTTTAGCAGTGAAATCTGCATTGACCAAGTTCACAAAGGCACTGGAAATAGGCTCAATCAATCCCTTAGTTATCATGGCACGAAGCAATCTTGTGTCAAGATCATCAGGTGCTCTAGCTGAACCATACGTCACTTTCACTGATTTCACACCACTTCCACCTGCGACTAGTTGGACAGCAAGTCTACCAAGTTTTTCAGCCAGTTCGACAAAAGGCTTCAGCTCGGAGAGCACCTGCATTATAGGGAGATAGAAATGATATTTCCTTTCTTTAATTCCATAAACCACAACCAAATTAATCTTCCAAGACCCCCTTCCTCAAAAAACAAATGAAAAAGAACAATGCATTTATATCTGCGCACTGGGAGGAGACTCTTGTACAATTACCAATAATTGGTCAATTTGAAACATGCAAGAATTAACTAAGTGGGCAGGCTAATTAGTTGAAGGCACTGTATGGAGCCTTTCATAATTTGAACTAAGATGTTAAAGGGATTATAACCAGTAAATATTCAGCACATTTACCTCAGCAGGCACCATTGGAGCATTGACAGCAGTAGCAGCAAGCTCTCCTTTCAAAGCTCCAACAACAGCTTCTGCTATCTCAATGGCCACCCCTTCCTGAACAAGAAGTTCAGACAGTATCACAATATGTATCAGCTGGTAAAAAAGTGTGACACTAGTGCAGACATCACACAGACCTGCGCTTCCATAGTACTAGCGCCAAGATGAGGCGTTGCAGTTACATTCTCATGTTGAATCAACTTACTATCCTTTGATGGTGGCTCCACAGTGAAGACATCAAGTGCTGCCTGCAAGATTTATTCATACGTCAATACGGATAAGCTATGGCAAAAGCCTATTTTATAGTTTAATCCAGGATTGGACAAGACAGGTGGAAAGTAAATATTGGTTTTAGACTCTCAACTGTCAAACAGACATGAATATCAGCAAAATACAAAGAAAGATGCAGTTTGACAAATAAGTGCATAATATATAGCCAGGACCTGTGCCACAATTCCAGCATCAAGTGCCCTGACCAAAGCATCTTCATCAATCACTCCCCCACGAGCAACATTGACAATTCGCACACCCTTTTTCATCTTTGCGAAAGTTTCATCATTTAGGACCTTCTTAGTTGCAGATGTAAGTGGCATGTGAAGTGAGATAAAATCTGCAGACGCAATGGCTTCATCAAAGCTAACAAGCTCCACCCCAATGGCACGTGCACGGTCAGCAGGGGCATATGGATCATGAGCAATAACATGCATGCCAAGCCCCTTAGCTCGCCTGGCAACTTCTGATCCAACCTTCCCAAAACCCATCACAGCAAGTGTTTTGCCAACTAGGGAGACACCAACATATTTGTTTCTCAGCCACTTTCCTGGAAACAATATCATGGGAAAGTTTCAACATTACAATCTCCAGGTGCAAACACAACCAGGATAACAGAGGAACTATTAGCAGCCATAAATATGTACATGCAATCAATAGAGGTTTCCTGACTAGTTCTCCCATATAAAATTTCCAATTTCACATTCCTAACAATAGCAAATTCATTCAAAGCATTTCCTTCCATTAGAATATTACTTTGCCAGTTACTTAATGGTTAGTGTTCCCCTCTTCAAGATAGAGCCCATGAGAGATGAAACACTCTAGCATTTTGATGCCTACATTGAAGAACCACCTAAGCGAAGCGGATTGTTCAGCCTGTCCTAGTCTGAGGATAAGTACGCCTCACGGAGCCTTTAACACTGGTACTATGACAAACAGATCCGCATAAATTCTCATTAAATAAGGGTAAGAACGACTATAGTCTTTTCTCTCTTACAAATAAATAATCTGAACAACTGAACCAATTTATAATAGATCGGATACCATAGCCGCAAAGCAATGGTTTTTAGCAGAATTACGTCTAGATAATCTCATATTCAAACTAAAATACTTTCACATTGACAAAACAGATCAAATTCAGGAAATAACTACGAACGTCATTTGTATAGATAGAACTAAAAAAAAAACGTGTACAATATACTAACCAGCTTTCACGGAAGCATCGGCTTGAGCAATATTTCGAGCCATAGCGGTGAGTAATGCGATTCCATGCTCCGCAGCAGCAACAGTGTTAGCAGTGGGCGCATTAACAACAAGGCATCCATGCTCAGTTGCCGCTGCAAGATCCACATTATCAATTCCCACACCAGCTCGTCCAACAACTTTAAGCCGTCCACCGGACGACTCAAATACCTCACGGCTCACCTTCGTACCACTCCGTACAATCAACGCATCACACAATGAGATCTTATTGCGGAGTTCCTCGGGACTCAGGTTATACGAACAATCCACGTCAGCGAATTCCTTTAGGAGATCTACTCCTGCCTCGCCGAGTTTTTCAGCTACAAGGACCGTAGGTTTTGCGCCCATGGAGAATATAACGAAACGTGGGTACTGACGCTGATCGCGGCGGGGAGACAAGGCGGCGACGGCGAAAACGGAGGAGGAACCGATGCGTGTTTTCCATGAGAGAGAGGTGTGGGAGGGTTTGGTGGAGAAATTTAAAGTCGAAGAAGCAGATGCCGCCATTTTTACAGATGATTTTTCAGCGTTTCTTTTAATATACAGAGTGCTAAATCGGTGTGACGAAGGAGAAGTTGGTGTGTAGGAGGCGGAGAGAGAGGAAGAAATGAATTATATATCCGAATTTCCCAGGAGCAATTATAGAGAGGTTAAGGGGGTGCTTTGTGTTACAGGCTGTTTAGTGACTTTTAGCAAAAAAGTTTTTATTTTGCTAATTAATTTAAAAAGTACTTCTGAGCATCAATTAGCTAGCGTTTGGTCATAAATTCCCAAATTTGTTCTGAAAAATTTGATTTTGGTAAAATTTGGTTTGAAGATGAAAATGTGTTTGGACATCAGTTTTCAAAACATATTTTCCAAATTTATTTAAAAAAAATATGAAACATAACTTATACCTACAAGTTCTAAAAACTATCACAAATACCCAACAGTACCATTATCAATAACATTCATTATATTATCACAAACCATAGTCCTGAACATAAATAAATTTGATACAAAATTATGATTTTTATAATGAACTACATGATACACTATCAGGTGACCGAGAAGACAAAACAACATTGTTACAAAATAATAAATGGTGGACTCTTTTATGAAATACAAAAGTTTGGGATAATTTTTAAAAAATGTAATAGTGATATTTTGGCCCAAAACCAGCTATTGAGCTAGTTTTGAGATTTGGGATTTTGCTAAAATATAAGCAAAATCTATGGCCAAACCCCCAAACATATGTTTGCCAAATAAAACCCAAATTTATTTTGTCAAAATCTATGGCCAAACGGGTCCTTAGTGTTTGGCCAAGATTTACAAAAATGCTTCTAAGTTTATTTTTCTCAAAAATATTTTTCAAAAAAGTATTTTTGGAGAGAAGCTACTTTTTTCTGCCTCTCCAAAACTGCTTCTGCTTCTCTTTAAAAGTATTTTTTTTATCAAAAACTTGGCCAAACACTTTAATTTTAGAAAAAGCACTTTTGGCAAAAAAAAAGTGATTTTGCCTCAAAAGAAACTTGGCCAAACAGGCTATTAGAATGAGATGAAAATAAATTTTCCCGAAAAAATTATGTCTCGAAAAAATTTCTAACACCTTTTGAAAACAAACATAATTTGGTTGATTTTATTTGAAACTAATATTAAATATAAAACCTTTTTTCATGAAACATATTAAACGAAATTACTCTCTAATGAATTATGATGTATGTTGTTACCCCCTTTGGGAGAAAATGTCCAAAATAGTCCAGTATTTTTGGACTTTAACTCAAACTAGTCCTATTTCTTTCACATGTAGCATTAATAGTCCATATTCTTTAATAAAGTGGTACACTTTTAGTCTCCATGTTTGATATGAAAAAATATATTTTTCAATTTTCTCATGTTGGTTGGCTTAAATATTTTGGAAAATATTTTCCTCATGAACTCATTTTTCTCCAATTGGAGGAAAATATTTTCCCTATCAAGAGAATGAAAAATATTTTCCAAAACTTTTCTTCAACCCTCCACACCCTTTTCTTCACTGTTTACATTTTTTAGCCATATACATAGATTATATATTTATTATACATAATTATACACATATAATACATAAATTATACCTCCACCAGCTATTTTTAGTTTAAGCAGATAAGTAGGCGGCTATTTGGGTTAATTCTTCTTCTTTTTATGATGTAGAAAAAGTATTTTCTTTCATTTCAACAAAATAATGTGCAAAAAATATTTTCTTTTCATGATATGGAAAAAATATTTTCTTTCATTTTAACAAAATGAGTACTTTTTTCATGTTGTAGAAAGAGTACTTTCTTTTTCAACAAAAAAAAGAGTATTTTCTTTTTAGTTGTGTAACGCAAATTTCAACGTTATTTTTGTGAGAAAAGGTAAAGCAACACATTACACTACTGGAAAATAGCACAATTTCGACTGCCAAAACTGTCGGAATTCGATCGAAAATCACGAATATTCGGCTACTTTCCGACCAAAATTGGTCCGTCGGAAAACAGCTGGTCGAAAAATAATTTCCGACCGAATCCGTTGGTGATTTCCGACCAAAGTAGTCGGAACGATCAAAAAGGTCAGACGACCAAATATATTCAAATTTCCGACCAAAGTGGTCGAAATTTTACCGACCGAATCGGTCGTAATAATATAAATAAAAATAATTATTTATTTAAAAATAAATAATAAAAATATATAATTTTCGACAGAATCAGTCGGAAATTAATAATTTAAAAAATTATTTAATTTCCGACGGAATCCGTCGAAAACTGTTAAATATTAAAAAATAATTAATTTCCGACCGATTCCGTCAGAAATTTGGGTGTTTTTAGTAAAATCTAGGCAGTTGTCCGACTGTTTCCGTCGGAAATCAGTCGGAATTTTCAGTAAAACGGGCAGAATTCTGCTCAATTTTGAGCTACACCACTTGTTAGACTATTACAATACTATAACGCCAACAACCAATCAACAAATATAACATCTAGACCAACAATACCAACCATTAACACAATCAATATCATCCATTAACACAATCTAAAGTCTAAACCAACAATATCAACCATTAACACAATCTAAACCAACAATACCAACCATTAAACCTTATAATTTTGGGCATAAAAACTTCGAAATAGTAGCCCACATTCAAGTTTAAAAACAAAACACAAAGTTGTCTCTCACAATCAAGTTTACCAATCAACCAAAATATCACAACTAAACTACTACACATCAGATTCAGTTTGTTCATCCTCATCATCAGATAGATCCTGCCCATATTTTCTCCTTAATTCCTTCATCTTAACAAATGCTCCGAATTGGGAGTCCAACTGTTGCTTCAAATCACGAATTTTATTTCTCATATCTTCCATTTGTTCTTGATTTTGAGAAGAAGAAGAAGAATTGGCTAAGAGTCGATTTGGATGACCTGTAGGTTGACGTACTCCAAATCCGTAGACTCTGCCTTTGTTTACTCTACCGCTGCCTCTGTCCATAATGTAGTCGTATCATCAGGTGTTGGTTGAGTTGAAGGAGGGTGAGTTTGTTTCCATTCTTTCACCCGTTTATGATAATCTTACTGAAATGAAAACATAACTATTATGTAAACAAACTAATATTAATAAACCATGAATAATTATGAAGTTAGTATTTTACATATGTGTCTGGCACACACGTCTCAACCCGGTGTTCTCTTGTACCATCATTCTTCTTTTTCTTATGCGTCTCCTTGAAGACCTCAGCGTGACTCATATCTCGCCCTCTTTCCTTTTCCTTCATAACAAAAAGTATGAGTTACATATTACAATCGTAAAATTCTATATGTAAAACTAAGAAAAATTTTATAAGTAATTACCAATCTTAGTTTATGGGCCGCAAAACTAATCGAACCTCATGTGTGCAACGAGCCACCTTTACTGGAGGCACGATTTGTATTTGCTTGGTCACTCTTCTTTCTCCATTCTGTGGTATTCCATTTCTCAAGAAGTTTATTCCAAACATCTTCTCTTAACCACTCCAGCATTTTACCAGCATTCCGAGCAGCAAACAAAGTATCTTTAATCCGCTTAGCAGCCTTCTTCTCGAAAATATTATTTATTTTATTTTGATGTTGAGGATGCCATGTACACTTTGTCTTCAATATAAAAAAGTAACATTAGATGAAGACGATAATTATTAAATAAATGTAATCAATTTTTACCCTAAATTGATTCCACATTTGCTCTCTGATGCTATACGGTATCTGTCTCCAAATATTCCACGGCTTATGATAAAATGGCTTCATAGAATCTACAATCAAATATGTAGACTGAAAGGATGGCAAAAACCTGCATTAATGTTAACATATATAATAATTAATAAACATCTTAAAGTTTCAAAAGTTTTAATTATAAATAAATATTCCTTAATGTTAACATATCTAAAAGTACATTCAAAACTTAAAGAATAGTATAAGAACCTTCTTACCCATCCTCGTATGGCTCGATTATAACTATCAAATTGTACATCCCCTCCAAGATTCTACCTGTGTCTACTAGATGGTGCAGAAGCAATACTAGATGTAGCTGGGCGAGAGCCTCCAATATCCAACCTAAACATGCTGGGAATGGATGATGATGATGATGGACTGGAAGATGATGGAGCAGCAAAAGACGAACCATCATACTGACTACCATGAAAGCTCGGGGATGTAACAGTTGGTGAGCCACCATGCTGACTACCATGAAAGCTCGAGGGTGTAGCAGCTGGTGAGCCAGTATGCTGACTACCATAAAAGCTCGGGGGTGCAGCAGCTGGTGAGCCACCATGCTGACTACCATGATAGGTGATCTCATCCAATTTCACTCCTCTCTTTGAGGTTATGAAAACGGTCGATGCAATAGCAATACCCAACAAGAGTCGGGGTCGAATTCCGCAAGGAGCTATATGAATGGGTGTTATTAGTATATATCTTAGCGCGTGAGTTCGTATATCTAAATTTGCACTTCCGTAATATTTGGGTTTGTTTAAAAATCTAAACTAAACTACGATTACGATTCAAAGAATGAAACTAGGGAAATGTTTTTTGTTGTTTTTCAAATGATATAAAAGGCCTAGGGCTATGACCTTTACCTAGGTGTTTTCCTAATGGGTTGTAAATTTTAAAGCTTGTTTTATTGGTCGGGGTGTATTATAGCTATCAACACTCAAGTACCCACTCAATACCTCTCGGTCAGATAGTGATTTTGCCCAAGTTAGCTTTCTCAAGTCCAAATGGATATTGAACAAAATAGTTGATAAGAAGCGCAAGTCGGGTTTTACTATCTCTAGGTTAAACCCTTTAATTGGGCTTATCAATCTCTCGATTGACCCAATTTCTTGCTAGCTAAGTTTTCCTAGACTATGTCTCTCTTTCTCAAGTAGATACTAAGTCAAATAGGCATGAATTAATGTTTGCAACCATTAATTCTTCAAATAAAAACAAGAACAATGCTAGATAACAAACACCCAACCATAAACAAGCAATAAATCAAACACCCATTAAGTTTACACACTAGGGTTGAGTCACAACCCTAGTGAAAATTTAGCTGCTCATGCTTAAACTAGAAGAAACATGAGAAAGAATGATAATTAAACCCATATTGATAATTAAAAGGATGAAATCAATATTCAAAT